TCTTACGTTCTTACTGCCCCAGCTTGTACACCAGAGCCCTTTCCCCGGGAGCTCTGAGATTAGTGGACTCCCTCCCTCTTAAACTACACACCTTGTGGGGTCTGTGGAGCCCAAGGTTGGGTGGGAAAGGGGAGGTTGGTTGCCAGCGGGTCAGAGAAATACTACCTTTTGGTTTTCTCACATCCTCATAAGTTCCTTGTGGCTTCCAGCCTCTCAAGGTGAGTTTAGATGAGGTGGATCTCCCCCAGAGCTTTCTTCTGATTCCCTTCCACCACCTGGTAGGGCCTGGGCAAGGGCCTTACCCCCGGGGCCCAGAGTAGATTGCCTGGGAGATGACTCTCACCCCTGAGCCTGTACATGCCCGCTGTGAGCCAGCTCTGTAGGGACAGCTTGGGTGGGCAGGGCCCCTAGTTCTCTCCGATGCACTGTCTGTAAGGTTTCTCTTCCTTTGCTCTCACTGTTGCTTGGGTTATAAGTTTGGCAACGAGTGATACACCTCCTTGTGGCCTCTTTTCCTAATGGACTGTTAGAACTTCTGCTGGTATTTCACTTTGCAGAGGCTCATGTTTCTCTCTCCTTTCCAATTCGTTTCCAAGCTCCTTAGTGAATTCTTTGTGCCTCTGGGAGTACCTTATAGAATTTCATGTCCTTAGGAGGGTCTAGAGGAGTGTTTGGTGTTTGTTGAATTCTGTGGCAGGGCTTTCCCTCAGTATCTTCCCTCTGCTCTTCATAGGCCCGGTCGGTTTACACAACATTGGGCAGACCTGCTGCCTTAACTCCCTGATCCAGGTGTTCGTTATGAACATGGAATTCACCAAGATATTGAAGAGGTAAGGCAATTGTTCAGGCAGATAAATGTGAATATTATTTTCTGTTTTCAATTATTCAGTTATTCACAGTGGTTTGGACTTTTAGAAGTCTACTTCCAAAAGCTAACAGAGAAAAGAACTTGCTTTGCACAATCTAGACTATATACTGTAATCATCTAAGATGATTTTTAAAAAATGTAAATGCAGATCCCACCCCCAGATATTTGGTTCCACTTGGGGCCTAGGTGGGTGTCTAGGGTGGGGCCCAAGCATTCGTACTTTTCAAAAGATTCCCCAGGTGATTCAAAGTGTAGCCAGATTGGCAGCCACTGACTTGGTTAAAAGGAAGTGGGGACCCTGCCAGTATCTAATCAACGGGCAGGTCTATGAGTCTATTGAGTTTTCTCAAATGAAACACATCCACACTCACACAGTATACACACCGTGAGAACCCTTCTTTCTTTCTTTTTTTTAAATGATTAAAAAAAAATTTATTTTATTTTTATTTATTTTTGGCTGCGCTGGGTCTTAGTTGCTGTGCGTGGGCTTTCTCTAGTTGCGGCGAGTGGGAGCTACTCTTTGTTGCGGTGTGCGGGCTTCTCGTTGCAGTGGCTTCTCTTGTTGCATAGCATGGGCTCTAGGCGCACAGGCTTCAGTAATTGTGGTGCGCGGGGTCAGTAGTTGTGGCTTGCGGGCTTCAGAGCACAGGCTCAGTAGTTGTGGTGTACAGGCTTAGCTGCTCCGCGGCATGTGGGATCTTCCCGGCCAGGGCTCGAACCTGTGTCCCCTGCATTGGCAGGCGGATTCTTAACCACTGCGCCACCAGGGAAGCCCGAGAGCCCTTCTTTCTTCTCAACCTGTTCTGCAGAGACATGCTGAGACTCCGCCAGGACTGACAGGCAAATTTCCTTGGGAACCCAAGCACCACACCCATATGCATATATTCACATACATAAACTTTATCACTCATTCTTTTCTGCCTTTTGCTTTCTCCTTTTCCCCTTCTTGGGCACGGGCAGTTGAGAGATGCCAGTGATTAAACAAATCATTGCCAAGATACACTGACATTCCTTTACGTGTCCTTCCCAGGACCTAGATCATATTTGCTTTTGGCCTTTGGAGAACTTCAGGCTGTGGCCGTTTTGCTGTGGATGCAGGACCTATTGCACCAGCCGTTCGTTTTGGTGTGACTGCCGTGCAGGGTGGGGAGAGGGGTGAGGCCGCAGCTGTGCTGATTCCCCTCTCGAGAGGAAACTCCCCTATAGCTGATTTGCTAACACGGTAGCTCTTCAACCTTGTCTATATGTTTAAATCATCTAGGAAACTTTAAAATCCTGGTAACTGGGCCCACCCCCAGAAATTCTGATGTAGTTAGTCTGCAGAGTGGCCTGGACGTGAGATTTTTGAAAGTTCTCCCGTGTGATTGTGGTGTGCCCCCGTCACTGAGAACTGTGGGGACAGGGAGGCTCGTGGCTGTTCTCGCTCGGCAGGATGACAGTGCCAAGGGGAGCTGCGGAGCAGAGGAGGAGTGTCCCCTTCCAGCTGCTCTTGCTGCTGGAGAAGATGCGGGACAGCCGGGAGGAAGCGGTGCGACCCATGGGGCTGGCCTACTGTCTCCAGACGTACAGCGTACCACGTAAGGCGGTCCTCCTCCAGGAGCTCGGGCTCCTGGCCTGCTGCTCTGAGAGGGAGGGGAGCGCGAGGGGGAGGGGACACGGGAGGGGGCAGCAGAGGAGAGGAGGGGGACTGAGGCTCAGTGAGTGAACAGGAAGGAAACCCTTGTGTTGGAGGCACGTGTGTGGATGCGAGATATCTTAAGGGGCCCCCATCGTCCAGGTGCAGCACTGATGTTATCTATGCACGTATTACTTCCACACTCACTCTCTTTCTGCCTCTCGGTGGAGCAAGTAAAAAAGGATTCGTAAGGAGAAACCATGTTCTACAAAAGGAAACTCGTAAATAGCTTAGTTTTTTTTTAAACAGCCTTAATGAGATATACATCACATAACTGTAAAATTCAATCAATTAAAAATGTACAATTCAGAGGTTTTTGGTATTTCACAGAGTTGTGCAATTATCACCACATTCTAAATTTAGCAAATTTTCATCACCCCCCAAAGAAACCCCATACCTATTAGCAGTCACTCTCCTTTGTTTTCTTCTAGGTTTTATACTTTTAGCTCTTACATTAGATCCATGTTTCACTTAGAGCTAAATTTTGTGAATGGTGTGAGATCAGAGTCCAACTTCATTCTCTTGCGTGTGGGCATCCAATTGTTCCAGCACCGTTTGTTGAAAATACTACTCTTGTCCCACTGAATTGATTCACTCTTTCTTTGTTACAACAAGCATCCTTTCATTTCAGCTTGATGAACTCCTCTCAGCTGTCCTTGTAAGGCAGGTCTAGTGGTGATGAGCTCTCAGTGTTCCTTTGTCTGGGAAAGCCTTTGTCTCTCCTTCATTTCTGAAGGACAGTGTTGCTGGATACAGTTTTCTTTATCAGCAGTTTTCCCTTTCATCACTTGCCCTATCATCCCACTTTCCCATGGTCTGTAAGGTTTGTGCTGAGAAATGTGCTGATAGTCTTATGAGGGTTCCCTTGTAGGTGATAAACTTCCTGTCTCTTGCTTTTAAGATCTCTCTTTGTCTTTGATTTTCGACAGTATTTTTGACAGTATTATGATGTGTCTTGGAGAACATCTGTTCAAAGGGAATATGTTTGGGGACCAGTGAGCTTCATGAACTTCAATGTCTAAATCTCTCCCCAGATTTGGGAAGTCGCAGCCACTATTTCTTTAGATGAGTTTTCGGCCCCCTTTCCCCTCTCTTCTTCTGGGACTCCATTAAAGTGTAGGTTGTTTCTCTTAATGGAGTCCCATAGACTTTCTTCAATCCTTCTCAGCCTTTTTGCTCCTTTGACTGGACAGTTTCAAATGACCTGCCTTCTAGTTCTTCTGATTCCTTCTGCTTGTGCATTGATTCCAGTCTGCTTTTGAAGCTCTCTGTTGAATTCTTCAGTTCAATATTCTTTAGCTCCAAAATTGCCCTTTGGTTCTTTTTTATGTTTTCTATCTCTTTGTTGAACTTCTGTTTTTCTTGGATTGTTTTCCTGATTTATTTAAATTGTTAATCTGTGTTCTCTGGTAGCTCTCCGAGCATCTTTAGAACAATTATTTAGAATTATTTTTCAGACAATTTGGTATCTCCATTTCTTTGGTTTCATTTACTGGAAGTTTACTGTTTTCTTTTGGTGGTATCATGTTTCCCTGATTGTCCAGGATCCCTGTAGACTTGTGTAGGGACTTTGCTAAGAAGGACCTTCACCTGCAGCTAGGGTGTGCTGTGATCCAGGTGTAGGGGTGTGAGGCTTGTGGTGGCTCTGGGTCTGGGTGGGTGTGATATATCATTGGCTCAGGCTGCTGGGGTCCACGACCTCGATAACTGTGCCATCCTTGCAGAGAGCTGCAGGGGGTCTGAAGTGGCTGCAAGGGCTGGGAGGTACTATTTCATTGTAGTTTTGATTTCCCTAACGATTAGTGATGCTGGGCATCTTTTCATGTGCTTACTGCCATTTGTATGTCTTCTTTGGAAAAATATCTATTCCAGTTCTTTTGAATTGGGTTATTTTTGTTGTTGAGTTTAAAAGTTCTATATATTCTGGATGTTAATCCCTTATTAGATATATGCTTTGCAAAAATATTCTCTCATTCTGTGGGGTGCCTTTTTACTCTGGGGATACTGTCTTTTGATGCATACATTTAAAAAATTTTCATGAAGTTGAAGTTTTCTATGTTTTCTTTTGTTACCTGTGCCTTTGGTGTCACATCCAAGAAGTCATTGCCAAATCCAAGGTCGTGTGCTTTTGTCCTATGTGTTCTTCTAAGCATTTTATTGTTTAGGGTCTTACATTTAGGTCCTTGATCTGTTTTGAATTAATTTTTGTATATGCAGTTAGAAGCGTTCAACTTGATTTCTTTGCATGTGGATATCCAGTTTCCCCAGCATCATTTGTTGAAGAGACTATCCTTTCCCGACTGTATACTCTTGGCTCCCTTGTCAAAAATTATTGGACCATACATGTGAGGATTCATTTCTGGACTCTTTATTCTATTGCATCAATCTGTATGTCTGTCCTTATGCCAGTACCACACTGTTTTGGTTACTATAGCTCTGTAGTAAGTTTTGAAATGAGAAAGTGTGAGTCCTCTAGTTTGTTATTCTTTTTCAGAATTGTTTTGGCATTTTGGGGTCCCTTGAGATCTATATGAATTTTAGGATGAGTTTTTCTATTTCAGCAAATATCTTATTGGGATTTTGTTAGGGATTGCATTGAATGTGTAGATTGCTTTGGGTAGTATTGACTTTTAAATAATATTAAATATTCTAGTCCATGTACATGGAATGTGTTTCCATTTATTTATGTCTTCTTTAATTTCTTTCAGCAGTGTTTTGTAGTTTTCATAATACAAGGCTTTTACCAATTTGGTTAAGTGAATTCCTAAGTATTTTATTGTTTTTGAAGCTATTATAGATGGATTTGTTTGTGTTCTTTCATTTTCAAATTGTTTATTGTTCATGTATGTATAGAAATACAATTGACTTTTGTGTGTTGACTTTGTATCATATTTTTAATTTCATTTATTAGATCTAAAAGCTTTGTTTCGTGGAGTCTTTTAACATATGAGATTATATCATCTGCAAACAGCGGTAATTTTACTTCTTCCTTTCCAATTTGGATGCATTTTATTTCTTTTCTTATCTAATTGCTCTGGCTAGAACTTCCAGTACTCTGTTGACTAGAAGTGGTGAAAGCAGGCATCCTGCTTTTACAGAGACCCGCACTGCACTGTCCCAGTTGTATGTCACCTTTCTTTAGCTTTCCATAGCAGTTTGTACACCTGGGGAATTTTTCTCATTCTTCTTCTTTTTTTTTTTTTAAATAAATGTATTTATTAATTTTTTTTTGTGGCTGAGTTGGGTCTTCGTTCCTGTGTGCGGGCTTTCTCTAGTTGCGGTGAGCGGGGGCTACTCTTCCTTGTGGTGCGCAGACTTCTTATTGCGGTGGCTTCTCTTGTCACAGAGCATGGGCTCTAGGCATGCGGGCTTCAGTAGTTGTGGCACGTGGGCTCAGTAGTTGTGGCACATGTGTTTAGTTGCTCCACGGCATGTGGGATCTTCCTGGACCAGGGCTCGAGCCCGTGTTCCCTGCATTGGCAGGTGGATTCTTAACCATTGCACCACCAGGGAAGTCCCTAAATTCTTCTTTGAATTGTGAGTACATGGATAATTGCCTACCACTAGACTATAGGTCTCTTGGGGACAGGAACTTTCTCTGGCCTGTGCAATGCCTTGCACGTAGCAGGTGTGAAAGAAGTTATGGGTTGGGCAAGCATCCCTGTATTTCTTAGATGAATCAGGACTCCTGGTTCTGGGATGGTCAGGTGCGGCAAGGTGGCTCTACGTGACAAGCTGACGTGACTCCCTTTATGTCCTGTGTGGTGGGCAGCCTTCTGAAAATAATTCCCTGAAGACTGCATCAGTGCAGCCTGCTGCCAGCCTGCTTGTCTACAGTTTGGGATTATTAGCTTGGAATGTGGATTAATTAACCATTCAACTAATATGTAACGTTCACCTATTATGTGCCAGTTTCTGAGCTGGTGAGGGAGTTAGACTGACAGAGTATTTGCCTCCATGGAGCTGACAGTTTAGAGGAGAGACACAGGCCAAAACAAAATACAACCCCAAAACATTAAGTATAGATTGTGATAAGTATCATGGAGGAAATGGTGTTGAGATAGCAGATATGAATGCTTAATACCTTTTCTTGCAACGTCTTTGCAACTTGGGAACATGGATTCATTCACCCCTGTGCACCACTTGTAGCCTGATGTTCACGTGTGTAGGATTCACAGCTTATTCCTGCTTCCTCTCCGCCAGCACCCTCTATCACTGAGAAGGTTATTTCCCTTCTTGTTCTCCCGTACACCTTTGGGGAAGACCTGGGTCAGGTATGAGTGTTGGAAAACTGCTCAATTTTAAGGGGAGTGAATAAAGAAAATACGGAGAGGCATAGAGAAGTCAGTGGCCACAGGAGTCCAGTTGGAGGCTTGGCAGGGACATAGGAGAGAATCCACCGCTGACTATTGGTTTTGTGTAGCTGGGTTCCCCAGCGGAGGCCAGCAGGGGTGGGTGGCAACTCAGAGGACAGAAGACTTGTGTGATGCAGTGGGGCTGGACTTTGAGTTTTAAAAGGAGTTCTTAAAATCAATACCAAGCTTATCTTTCATTTTTATGGCTGAACATCCTGTGGAAACTTAGCCTGAAAGCGGGGAAATGCAACGTGACGAGTGTTTGCATGCATCTAGGTGGCTGGGGCAGGAGGGCAGGACAGGTGTCCCTGGGTCCTCACCCTGGGCGTTACTTTTCTCTTTGGCCAGTGTTTGTCCAGCATGATGCTGCCCAGCTCTACCTCACAATCTGGAACCTGATTAAAGACCAAATCACAGATGTGGACTTGGTAAGTCCTAGAACGGGAGAGCTCAGAAGGTGAGGATGCTGTCCTTGTGACGTGTAGAGAGGATTGAAAGGGGAAATGCATGTAAAATGCTTATCACGATTGCATAGTGCAGTTGCTGTGATTTCTCTACGCCTTTGTGAGCGAGCAGAGAGCGGCTGCCCTTCCGGAGCTGTGTGCGGTGGCTCCAGTGCTGGAGCTTGGCCGGACCTGCTTACTCGCAGCTTTCTCTGCACCTTCATCCTCCTCCCCCTCCCTTTTGCAGGTAGCGAGGCTGCAGGCCCTCTATGCCATTCGCGTGAGGGAGTCCCTCGTTTGCCTTGGATGTACCATGGAGAGTGACAGAAGCAGCAGCATGCTGACCCTCCCCGTCTCTCTTTTCGACATGGATTCAAAGCCCCTGAAAACACTGGTGAGGGGTCCTTGTGGGGAGTTTTCTGTTCCCGCACAGCCCAGAGCTTCTGGTGCCCCCTCGCTTCTTTAATCCACCCTTGGCTTTTAAAAAATCATTTCCGCTTCCTTTGCATGGCTCTGGCTAAGTTCTCCTTTCATTTGCGGGGCAAAAACGTTTCTCCTCTTACGGCCCCTTATCCTCACTGCTTCCTCCAAAACGCAGGTCTTTCCTGAGACCCTGGCACATGTACCACGCTGGGCTGGATGTTAGGGGACCTGGGGAAAACGAGGAGAGAAGCTTAAGCTCATCGGCAGGGTGAGGGGTTGTACCCAGAAGGTAATAACCTTGCCTTTCCCTTGCTCCCCTGGGACAGGAGGACGCCCTCCGCTGTTTCTTCCAGCCCAGGGAGCTGTCCAGCGAGGACAAGTGCTTCTGTGGGAACTGTGAGAAGGAGACCTGCTGGAAGCAGGTACTTGCTCCCAAACCGGGTGCTTCTGGCCCATCTGGGGTTCCCCTTGGGGGCCTCCCACTGAGGGAGGGAATCCCTTCAGACTGGGGATCCTGGGGCTTGTGACTTCCAGGGCTGTGGGTACGCTCCTCGGACCTCATCACTGAGACGGACGGGGGAAGGCACAAGAGCGGGGGCTGTTTTCCCCTCAGGGCCAGACTCCCCAGGGAGGGGAGCAGACCCCGTAGTTGCCCTGGGTTCCTGGCCGGAGCCCTGGGCTTCTTGAGCCTTCTGTGGGAGGTCCAACAGAGCCAGCAGGCAGGGCCCTTACCGTGTGATTCCATTCCGCTCCCTTCTGTTTTGGAAGAAGAACATACCATCGGCCCTGGTGTTTCTCGGAATCGACCTGTTTCAAGTGCCTGGGACTCATCTCCACGGTGACTTTGCTTTTTCCAGGTCTTGACGCTGACCCACCTGCCCCAGACATTGACCATCCACCTCATGCGTTTCTCCAGCAAAAATCTGCGGACAGAAAAAATCTGCCACTCACTGTGTTTCCCCCAGAACTTGGATCTAAATAAGCTCCTTGAGATGGAGGGAGAGCCCTGCACTGCTGAGGAGCAGGTGAGGGCCCCTCGTGTCCCTTCCACCCCCCACATAAGACACCCCGTCCTTTGTTTGTCTTCCCTCCCCTGAGATGATTGGCATCAAGATCACCAGAGATGCACTTTGAGCATCCTTCTCTTCTCCGGTGGCCGAGCTCGGGACACAGAGGGAGGGACGCTCACCAACGGCTTGGTATGATTCATAGAAACATATTCATACACTCGAGAAACACTTGTTTTTCAAAAAAGGAGTTTGATGATGGGAACCCGAGTCTCTCGAATAACAGCGATGGGCTGTTAGCCTCACATTGCCACCAACATTTGCTGTTGGCAGTTGCATTTCTTTTAAGATTCAAAAGACTTTGTTTCTGATGATTGGATTTGTACTCGTCTACCTCACAGCAATGAGGGAAGGAACCCATAAGTCAGAACCTTCCTTTTCAATAGGATGTGCAGTGCTTACATAGCCACAGGTAAGCACAGCACCCTGGGTTCTAAATAGAGCCCCAGCCTAACATTCTACTTCAGGCAGCTTATGCTTACCTTGGGGATAATAAGAAAGCAGCCAGCACGTTGGGCCAAATTGATTCAGAGTAAAGTTGGATTCAGTTGTCTTGAGCTAATGAATTGTGGGGAAATTCTGAGAAAAAAGTGACATAAATGTCTTTTCTCCATAGGTTTAAAATGCTACATTTATTCCCATACATATGTGAGTCCATTTGTGGACTTTCTGTTTTGTTTCACTGGGCTGTTTACTATCCATGCTCTAGAACCATGGTTTTTTTAAAAACTGAGGCCTGACAGCATGTTACAGTGGCTCCTTCCCTGTTCAGGGCATGTACATTTCATAGGATTCTCAGTTTCTTTCCTTCTAGTTTCCTTATTTCCACTGGCACAGCCTACCTAATGAAATATATCTTAAAAATCTTTTTCCTCTTGAAAAGACTTGTGAGGAATTATATAATGAATCTCCACATCCACCAACGGCTTAAACAGCTACCTAACTCATGGCCAGTCTTGCTTTACCTACACCCCATCCTCTTCTTTCTCCAAACCTCTACTGGATGATTTTGACACAAATCCCAGACACCGTACATGTCATTTGGAAGTATTTCATTATGTCTCTCTAAAGAATAAGCACTCTTTTTCTAAACATGACCGATTGCATCTTATGATTCTTTAATATCCTCTAATAGCCAAGTAAATATTTGGATTTCCCTGACTGTCCTGTAAGTTGTTTGCTTTGTTTGAATCTAGAGCCAAATAAAGTCTACACTTGTATTTGCTTTACCTTTGTTTCCTCCCTCCCTCCCCCTTGCCTTTCTTTCTTCCTCAGGGTAAGTTTCTTGGATGCTTCCCCTCCTTTTCTTTTCCTTGAAATCTCTTTGCTTGAAGGTTTCTTTAATGTATCTCCAGAATTGGCTGGCGGGTCTTATGTGACACACACTCCTCTAGCCCTGGTATTTCTCGTGAACTGAGAGTTAGATCCAGGGATTGCCCCGCACTTTTTGCACAGCAAAGGAAACCATAAACAAGACAAAAAGACAACCCTCAGAATGGGAGAAAATATTTGTAAATGAAGCAACTGACAAAGGATTCATCTCCACAATATACAAGCAGCTCATGCAGCTCAGTATCAAGAAAACAAACAACCCAACCCAAAAATGGGCAGAAGACCTAAATAGACATTTCTCCAAAGAAGATATACAGATTGCCAACAAACACATGAAAGGATGCTCAACACCAGTAATCATTAGAGAAATGAAAATCAAAACCACAATGAGGTATCACCTCACACCGGTCAGAATGGCCATCATCAAAAAATCTACAAACAACAAATGCTGGAGAGGGTGTGGAGAAAAGGGAACCCTCTTGCACTGTTGGTGGGAATGTAAACTGATACAGCCACTATGGAGAACAGTATGGAGGTTCCTTAAAAAGCTAAAAATAGAACTACCATATGACCCGGAAATCCCACTACTGGGCAGGTACCCTGAGAAAACCATAATTCAAAAAGAGTCATGTACCACAATGTTCACTGCAGCACTATTTACAATAGCCAGGACATGGAAGCAACCTAAGTGTCCATCGACAGATGAATGGATAAAGAAGATGGGGCACATGTATACAATGGAATATTGCTCAGCCATAAAAAGAAACGAAATTGAGTTATTTGTAGTGAGGTGGATGGACCTAGAGTCTTGTCATGCAGAGTGAAGTGTCAGAAAGAGAAAAACAAATATCGTATGCTGACACATATATATGGAATCTAAAAAAAAAAAAATAAGGTTCTGATGAACGTAGGGTCAGGACAGGAATAAAGAGTCAGATGTAGAGAATGGACTTGAGGACACGGGGAGGGGGAAGGGTGAGCTGGAACGAAGTGACAGAGTGGCATTGACATATATACACTACCAAATGTAAAATAGCTAGTGGGAAGCAGCCGCATAGCACAGGGAGATCAGGTTGGTGCTTTGTGACCACCTAGAGGGGTGGGATAGGGAGGGTGAGAGGGGGGAGATACAAGAGGGAGGGGATATGGGGATATATGTTTACATATAGCTGATTCGCTTTGTTATACAGCAACAACTAACACACCATTGTAAAGCAATTATACTGCAATAAAGATGTAAAAAAAAAAAACCAGTGTAACATCCCCACGTGAGAATAGAGAATGATTTTAGCCCTCCCTTTTGGGGGACTAAGCTTCGTTTGTCCTACCCTCATCCTGTCCCCTTCACGATCTTGTTTCAAAGTCTCAGGTTAGGGATATTATTTGACTGTGTTGAGAAAACAAGTACAATTTTCCCAACTCATGTGGAGATCTTGCTCACAGTCAGTGAAAACTCTCTCTCTTGCCACTGTTGTCTTTTCACAGATAATTCTCTCTTGTCTTGACTTGCTAAGATTTGAGGGAGTAGAAAGACTTACTGCCAAACCTAGTGAATACTTTTTGGTCTTTCCCTTACTTGATCTTTTTGTGATATTCTGTTATTGATCCTATTCTCCTTCAAAGTCTGCCTACTCTAGGCCTCTCTCCTGGGGGTTCTTTCTCCATTGCTGGATCCTTTCCTGCCCATTTTTATTGGTATTTAGTTTTAATTCTATTCCTTTTTCTTCCCGTTTTTTGAATGTCATCTCATTAATTCTCATGGTTTCAATCACCTCAAACTGAAGACTTCCAATCCCTGTCTCCTGCTCAGGTCTCGCTCTTGACCTCCAAACAGTGTGTCCACCTCGTACTCAGTGTTGTCACACGGTCCCCAAATGCACTGTCTTCATCCCCAGACACCTCTGTTCCATGTGTGACCTTATAGCAGCAGCGTCTTCCTAATTTCCAAGCCAAAAATCTGGGGTTCATCCTTGTAGTGCCCCCTACTTGCTCCCCCACCACCATATCCATCAGTTGCAAAGGAACTTATTATTTTTCCTTAACTTTGCACAAATCTGTCCCCTCGTCTCTACGTTCCCCCTCACTTCCTCAGTATAGGGGTCCAGAGCTTGGGCTTCGAAGCCGGGCAGGCCTGGGTTAAACTCCCGCCTCTTTATGAGCTCTGACCCTTGAGTAAATTACTCTGCTCCCTGAGCTCAGATTCCACGTCTGCAAAGTAGGATTTATGCTGGCACCTAGTTTACAGGTTTGCTGTGGATGTTAAATGGAACAATGCATGTGAAGACTTGGCCAGGTGCTGGCAGTCAGCTAGTAATTGCTGTGTTAATAATGCTTATATCGTTTACTGGCTGCTCCCGGGGGTAATGGCTGGGCTCTCACCATTTCTTCCTCGTGCCATCGTGGTTCCCTAACTTGTCTCGTTGGCTCTGCCTCACTTGAACTCTCAGTCCGTTTTTCACACCATGTTATTTCAGTATTTCTCAAACACAAATCCTATGATGTTGCTCCCCTGCGTAAAGCCTTCCGACGGCTCCCACTGCTCGGGATAAAGTTCTGATTCCTGACTTGGCCTTTGTGGACGTTAATCCCATGGCTCCCAGCACCCCCAGCTGCGTTTCCGGGTGCACTGTTCTGTTCCCACCGGGCCTCCACAGTTCCTGGTCCATACCCCATCACGCGTGTGCCATGATGACCCTTCAGGATCAGTTCAAGCACGTCTTCTCTGGGAGCTTTCCTCAGCAGGTTATTCCTTCTCCTTTTTGGGGCAAAAAGTGATTCTTCCCAAATTTACCTCCAAATGCATCTGGTATAAAACATGGGATTACAGCTCTGGCATAATTAGCTGTGAGTCTTGAGGTCAAAGACGGTTTTCTAGTGCCCTGGAAGCACCAGTGCCTGGCAGAGAAAGGCACTGAATAAGCAAAGGCACCATGAAATAGTTTCCTCCTTCTAGACGAGGGTCAGAAGAGGAGGGATGATGGGGGTCTCTTTGTCCTTGTGTCCTTCAGCATGGGGGACAGTATGAACTCTTCGCTGTGATTGCCCATGTGGGGAAGGCTGACTTCGGTCACTACTGTGCTTATGTCCGGAGTTCTGTGAATAGAAGATGGTTCTGCTTCAACGACTCCAATGTTTGCTGGGTGAGAAACATCCTCCAGAATTGCCTCTTGCCCTGGATTCTCCATCTCTAATAAGTTCTGAGCCAGGACTAGATGGACCCTCAAGGCCCAGACACGCTGTGGTCCTGTTCTCTGTGTGTGTGGCCTTTCGTGGGGTTTGAAGCCCTTTTCTGCATGGAGCCCCTGTCTGGTTTACAGCGCTCTGCTACTCCACTGAGCTCAGTGTCTAGGTTTTTGGGATTCTAGGCTCAGTGCCCTGTAGCCTCGTGCTCTGGGGGAAGCTTACTGAAAGCAAGAAGAGTCAGAAAGAGTTAGAAAATCTTGGCTCGTCAACACCAAGTTTCAACAGAGGGACAGTGTACTAAAGAGACTTCATACACGTGGCACCTGTCACTAGGTGATCCAGGTCATGGGTGTAACGGGGGTGGGTTTGTCTGGGTGAGTGAGGGAGGGCCGTTTCACCTTGTCTGTCTGTGTGCTTCCAGGTGTCCTGGGAAGACGTCCAGTGTACCTATGGAGATCACAGCTACCGCTGGTGAGAGAGCACTGGGGTGGTGGGGCCCCAATGCGCTCACACACCCTGAACAGCATAGGGTGCTAGCTGCTCTATGAAACGCTCACGGACTCAGCTGCCACTCGCCTGTGGATGGCCCCCTAGTGAATACTGCGCAGCCTCATCTTTCGGTACCACCCACCACACTGCTCTCCCTGCAGCTTAGACTCCAACATTACTGAAGTATAAGTGGCTCCCAAATATCACGCTGTGCGTGGCTTTGTGCGGGCTGTTCCCACCTGTGCTGCCTTTTCCTAATTTGTCACTGCGGCAACCCCCCTCTCATGCTTCAGTACTTCTGCTCGTGCCCACCTGCTCTGTAAAGGCTTCCCAGCGGCATCCAGGCAGGTTTGTAGGAGCTTCTCAGATGCTTTCCCTGCATGTGGAGCTCACCTCCTTTACAGCAAGGATCCCACTGCTCTTTAAGTGTTCGCCTACGTAACATTCTTTCACATTAACCGTGAACTTTTCGGAGGCAAGGGTCACTCTTTC